CGCTGGGCGCTCTCTGTGCGCGCGCGCGCCCTGTTGCGCGCGCTGGGGCGTGCCCTGGCCTTCTTTCTGGGTGATTTTTGGAAAAATTTCTAGGCATCTTCAAAGCTTCAAACTTGATCTTCCATTCGTCTTTTTGATTCAAAATCAAAACCCTAATTCTACCCAAAACCTAAAATTACAATAATTCTAATCCCGAATTATATTAGAAATAATTTAATTTGAACGAATTTAATGCGATCCATAGAACCATATAATTAACGACCAAATCCATCATCCATATGGACATTCATCATCATGAATCAAATATAAACATCCATAAATGCAAGTGCCTACCTATCACATACATACATAATTAAATATCACATATTTAATATACTAATTTTGATTAGCAAATAATCGGAGCATAAATTAATATCGTCTATAGACCGCTATGATACCAATTGTTGGTAACCGAATCGAATTCGGATGCGGAAGCGTGGGGGGAGGCGGATCGTATATAACAAAAATTTTCATAAAACCTTTGAGATACTCTATAGATTATATTAATTTATGCACGAATAAATTAATCTCATTAATTCATTTATTAAGAACTCAATTAGGAAAAATACCTGGAGGCCGACTCGGATGATAACTTGAGTTCTTTGACCTCGAACAATCCTTGCTCCAAAGCTTTGTGTTTAGAAAACCAGTGTCTTCCACGTCAATTCTTAGAATCCACGAAGACGTGTGTGTGAGCACACATGAGACAAAACGGGTTACAATAAACACTCGAATTTTCACAAACACCAATGCATGCACGATGTGAAATTTTTGGAGAAAAATTTTTCCTTCACTCTATAGAGAAATTTCGGCCACCTCTAAAATTAGGGCAAAAATTCATTCCGAAAATTGTCCACCATTCTCTTATTTATAGAGTAGAAGTCAAATTTCTAGAAGGAATCTAATCTATATCCCTAAGATAAAGCTTGTTAATTATCTCCTATTTGAATTTTAAACAAAATCTCCTATTCCCTTATCCCTTAGTGTGGCCGGCCAAGATAGGGATTCTCATCCCTGTGTGGCGCCAATATCAGATAGGGAAGGAAGAGAAAATCATCATTTATCCTGTAGTCCAATTTTGACTCAAATTCAAATTTCAATTTAAGTCAAACTTAAATTAATTTGAATTCTAAATTGAACAACTTATCAAATAAGTTTAAATGGATAAATCTATATGTGTTCAAATTCAAATTTAAATAATCACATTATTTAAATAATAATTAATTCTCAATTAATTATTTTCGATTGTTTAATTTTAGAATTTCGTAATTTTAAAATTCTCATTTTGCCCTATGTGTCTGGTAGAATTACTAGGACGACGTAGGGACTAATGGACCTATAATCCCGAGCTCCAATAAAATTAATAATCAATTAAACACTTTAATTAATTAATTAATTCTAATAGTTACTCCACTATAAACTTGTCAATCCTCCATAAATAATTCATAATTAGAGCTAGATAAAATCCGTTAACCTCTCTAATTATTTCTTTATCCTTAAGTACCATTGATTCTCTAATGGACAGTGATTCATAAAACACATTCATGAATCAGAACTCCTACTGGTCCAAGTACCGAATCAACCCTCAAGAGAATTATTTATCTACTTTTTTTTTAAGAAGGAATGGATTCCATCTCGTGTAATAACATTCCCGGCTACCTACTTCATCATGTCTCCAAAATACAAGGAATAAGATTCAGGATCTCAGAATCCGTACCGAGTAAATAAAAAAACACAAATCCATAAATATGAGTCTGTTAAGAACTCAGGATTAAGACCATCCTATATATGACCATCGGTAGACTTAATTAGAATTTCTATACTTAACGGAATTATTAGAAATTCATATTGTATCTGTGTCCTTGTTCTACATAATCTCATTATGCGAAATACACTCATTCAATATCTCACCATATTAACAGTGCGGATAACACCGTTCCATTCTAAATGGGAATGACATATATTAATAATATTTTAATTAAAATTCTGAACTTTAATTAAATTTATTATGAACATTGCTTTTTTGTTTATAGATTTAATTCGCATGCTATTCTTACATTATTCATTTCATTTATCCATAATCATATTTTATATTGTAAATTATTATTAACATGTAATCAGCGTAGATATTTTCATATTAATTTATGTAAAATAAATTATAGCTGTATTATAAAGATTATCAACTTTTTATACGATATAAAATTACTACCCGCGCAAAGCGCGGGCATACAATAGTTAGTTTCTAACTTTAGAAACACCTCAAACAAGCCCTTCATATATAAAGTTATATTAAAATAATCTTTCGCCCGTCTACTATTGTAATCCTGATAGAGAAAAGACGCAAAAATCATGTAAGGTTTAGTTGGGATTACTCTTATTATTATTATTATTATTATTATTATTTTTTGGTAATTTTACATGTAAGGACATGTCTTAGTAAGCTAGCTATTTCTCCATCGAGGTTTGATAGATGAAAGGACTTAATTTGATGCAACTAGGTAAATTGGGGACTCACTTCGGAGACTTCTTAAGAGTCGGGACTAAGATGAGATTTGGCCGATAATAATGTGGGTGGTCTAAAATTGGATTTAATCAAAAAGAAAAAACCAAAAACCCAAAAGGGCGTGAGCAAAAGAGTATGAAACCAGGACAATCATTCTCATATGCTCCATATGGTTTGGTGAAAATGAAAGCTTTCTTTTTTTGTAGCCAAGTGAAAAACATAATTCCAGGTATCAAATAATCAAATTTACTTAGAAGCCGCCAGATAAATATTTACATACAAGCATAAACCATCCATGTTTTTATTTTAGAGCCAGGAACACAAACTTGAACATTTAGCAAAAAGGATCAAATTTGAACTTAAGCTGAAAGGCCAAAGTTTACTCCTCTAACAAGCTCATAACCAATTTGTTTGACATAAAGCAATTACATTTTCAGGTCAAGCAATAATTCAAACAATTGACACAGTTTTTGCCATCTTGAAACTTAACAACAAGCCAGAATTTTTAAGGCAAATTCTATTCAGATTATGAATTTCCAATTACATTGCAACTAAAACAGAGGAAAAAAAACATATCACTGTACTAAAAAAAGATTAAAAAAACAAAAAGAAACTACGGCTAGAATTCCTCACAAAAATATAGTCGAAAGCTAAGCCCATCCATTTACCATTTCCATAGTGAAGAAGAACAAATCAGAGCAAAGCCTAAACAATGGCGACCTTAGCCCCAGCCTCCTCGAGCTGCTTCTTGGCGTCTTCGGCTTCGTCCTTGGAAACTCCCTCCTTAAACTTCTTCGGCAATCCTTCAATCAGCTCCTTCGCCTCCTTCAGCGCCAAGCTCGTCAGCGCCCTAACCGCCTTAATCACCGCTATCCTCACGTTGCTCGGGACGTCCTCGATGACCACGTCGAACTCTGTCTTCTCCTCCGGAGCCGCGGCTTCGGCGTCTCCTCCGGCTCCCGGCACGGCAACTACGGCTGCTGCTGGCGCGAGCGCGGCGGCCGAGACGCCGAGCTTGTCCTGGAGGAAGTCGACGAGGCCCTTGGCCTCCTCGAGGGTGAGGCCGGCGATTTCATCTCCGATCTTCTCGATCTTCTCCGGCACGGCGACGGCGGCGAGGGGACGGACGTGGCTGGCGCGGTGGGAGGCGGAGAGGCTAGGGTTTTGGGGGTTGAAGGGGAATTGGAGGAAGGCGGGCTTGGGGGAGGCGAGCGCAGGAGAAGAGAGCGCGGTGGGCGTAGGATAAGAGGGAGACCGGAGTGTGAGAGCGGAGAGAGTTGACGCCATTTTTGTGCTGATTTGCTCTTCTGATGATGAGAGAGAGGAAGAAGAAGAAGAAGAAGAAGAAGAAGAAGAAGAAGAAGAAGAAGAAGAAGATTGGAGAGGATAAGGGAGAGAGGAAATGGGATGGACTGTGTAGAATGGGAGTGGGAAGTGGGAAATGGTAATACAGGATATGGTGTGTTTTTTTAGTTTAGTTTGACGGAAGTGCCCTTGCGGATTTTGGATAACAAATGTTTCGGTGTGAGGGTAAGAATGGTATTTTGCGTAGGTTAATGCAAATTGCCTATTTGGGCCAATGAGCCTGGTGTTTAAATGGGCCTGCAGTTTGTGGGTTCTATCATAGCTTAGTCCAGACAGAAGTGATTTCGGCACAAAAAAGCAAATTAAAAAAGAAACATTTCGAGTGCCATTACGAGATCGAACTCGGGATCTCTCGCACCCCAAAGCGAGAATCATACCACTAGACCAAACGCCCAATACTTTTTAAATGATGCAAGTTGGCAGATCTAAGATGTTAATAGTTAAAGAATTCTTCCCCCTTTTAGAATGTATAATCAAATTATGATTTACATGTTAAATTTTAAATTTTTGTAAGAGAAAAATACTGTAAAAAAATTAATGATTTAAGTTTGAGTATATAAAATAAACGGGTCCTTAATAATGTGAAAGTTGTCAGATTAGACCGTATAATATCTGCTAATCTAGGCAATGATCTAGGGTGTTTATACTAACTGAACAGTTGATTCAGACAATTAAAATCAAGCTTTTATAATAATCACTTTAAGTAGCAGCCTTGAGAATTTGATAAGCAACGTGTTTAAGTCAATATGTCGTTGACTATTACGGTTTGCTGTTTAGGCACATGATTTTTTTTCCCTGATAAAAGAAAGTTAAATCAATGGACATTGTTGATTCACTAGGATTCATAATACTTGGGATCAGGCAGTGAAATGAAAAGGTAAAAATGTGTAAGAAATGCTATGTTTCATACACTACACTTCTTTAAATACTTCATTTCATTGAATTTGTTTCAATATATTTTATAGATAGTACAAAATTATAGCTCTCTACACATGGTATGCAGATATATTGATTGGTATATTCACTTATATCCTTTTAGCCCTCTGTTCCGAATATAAATTATCAAAATAATAATGTTTGAGTATCTCAAACTCTCAAAGTCCTATTCATGCTACAACGTGGGCACGGCCAAACTACATCATAAAGGCCATTAAAGCAGTTTTTCACCACCTTCTGCGCCTCCTTCCATACCAATATGCAACCGCAGCTATCGATGCGGCCAGGGCAACACAGGCCGTTGCATGCCAAGCATAGATTGGTTTCTCCAGAACAAGATCAGATCCTCGGCCGTTATTGCTAACTGTTGGCTGTGGCGGTTTTTCACTAATTGCCAATGCAAATCCCATACCCAGCCTTTCCAATTCACCAATGTCTTCAATGGCTGGCTTCAGCCTGGTGGCCTTGGCTATAGCTTCGTACTCATCTTTGGTTCCACCTTCAAGAAAAGACCCCACAAGATGGCCCTTGCTAACCCAATAAGCCCCGAATGTGCTTCCAGAGAAATCACCAAAATGGATTACTTCTCCTACATTGTCCCCATAAAACTGCCAGGACAAGGTGAACACTCTGGAGTAGAAGAACGGTAGATAGTCAAATTCATCCATTTTGTTTGGTTCCATTATCGCAGCCACAGCATGTCTTGCAGACTTTCTGGCTGAGTCGACGTGTTCAAGCCTACGGATTTCACCAAATAGTTTGACTGGAAATGCGGCAACGTCTCCAACTGCATATACTGAGCTGTTGCTTGACTGCATTTTCCCATTCACCTTGATTCCACCCTTCTCCAATGTTAGTTGACCTTCAAAGAGGCTTGTGTTTGGCCGGATTCCTATTCCAACCACAACCATGTCGGCGGGTAGTCGACTTCCATCTCTAAGAATAACAGCTGTGACCTGTAAATGACAAAACGAAATTACTGAATCAATCAATCAGCCTATAGATTAAAAATAGAAAGCCATCTTTGTATTTTAAAAATGATATTCAAACCCTTGTGAAGAGAAAAGGCAAGTGGCTGGGAAGCACATATGGTCTTATTCCTTGTTTACTAGAACCTAGACTTCTCACAAATGGCAATAGTATGTATCCTTTGTATTTGACCAAAAACAGAAAAAGAAAAAGAAAAATTAACCCTTTGTTTAACCTTTATTTGGATGGATAACGTAGTCCACTCTCAAATAAACCTCAACATTTTTTTCTCCCATTTCAATGCTTCCTCAGCACACAAAAGATTTGCACTTGTAATCAGCAAAACCATGAGTGCATGTTTAAAAATAATCTCAATCTCACATATTGAAATGAGCTTCCTCAAAATCACCACAATATTTACCTTCCCGTTGGAATCGATTTCAAATGATGACAACACAGTTCCTTTGATGAACTTTACTCCTTTGGACTTATAAAAATTTTCGTAGTAACTTGCTATCTTGGGTGTAAATAAACGAGCCACTGAAAAAAAAAAAAAAAAAAGATTAATCAATTTCGCTTTGAAGTAGTCTTCCATCACATATTTTATCACTATCAGTTGATTGTGTTTCGGATGCTTAGACCAAAAGACTATACACCAGTACATGTCAAAGAGCCAAAAAAAAAAAAAGAGGAATTACTGCAATGTTCTTCTGGGAAAACCATTGTCACGTTTATTTTATTGATGACCAAAGATGCAGCACACTCCATTCCTATATAGCCACCTCCAATTACAACTGCATTTCCACCAGGGCGAGACTTCATAAGGTCAACAAGCATACTTGCATCACCCAAATTTCGTAAATAACAAACATTTTCAGCATTTGATCCTTTCACTCCAAATTCTTCCAGCTTCAGTGCCTACTCTCAAAACATACAAAAGTCAATAAGTCAGGGAAAGCATTCGCGCAACGATTTCTCATAACAAATTACTTCCAAGAACAAGCAATCTTATGCACTAACCACACATGTACACTTTGTTTGCCATTACATGAAGAGGAAAATACAAACTTTTGTAGTCTTTTCGACTCTGCTGAGAAAGAATCCACTCTTTTAAATTTGGTTGCAATCATTTGGTCACACTGATGATATAAACTGACAACATAAAGCAAAAGAAGGAAAAATAACATTATAAGATCAGTATCAGTACCCGAGCACCTGTTGCAATGACGAGAATCTTGTAACTTATAGTCTCTCCAGCTACTGTTAATAATGTCTTACGCCTGATATCAGCCGACTTAACTCGAGTTCCAAGAACTAACTCAATACCTATTAGGAAAGAGTCCAGAAAAGTAAAAAAATAAAAAAATCCCAATTAGGTTGCATATGCTGAATGTAATAATAATATAAGAAAAGACCAATTTGTCTATAGAAGACCAGCTATAGAAACATAGTAAAAGAGATAATAGGGAGGGTTTAGAGTTGAGAAGAAAGATGTCATTTGATAATCACCGTGTTCTTTGTACCATTTTGGAGTTAACCTTTCCTCATTAGCACCAACACAAGTATGAAAGGAGGGAAGGCGTGAAGGAGCTGCATTCATTCATAATCATTTAGATAAATAAAACTACATTTTTAAGGAAAATTAAATGTGAAAAACCAAGAATCCCAAACAAATAAGTAATAAGCAATTATGACTTTGTTCAAAAGAGAACATCAGCAGACTAAATAATTACAAAAACTGATCCGCATCAAACCAAAACTCCAGCACAAAGTCCTTATCCCCGACTCAACAGGTTTTATTGATATATAAAAAATTAAAAAAATTAAAAAAATCCAGACTGCAAAAAGAAAAATTCAGGATAAGCACTTGTACCTTCTGGAAGTAGAAACCCTTTGCTCAGTGCAGGTCTCTCATAGGGCGCTACCTAAGTATGATTCAGTAGAATCCCGTTAAACTAATGCATCTAAAATTGGAAGAAAAATTTTTTTTTTCACGAAAGAACTAATTCAAGCAAGGATCAATAAAGGATTCTACATTGAATACGGACTGTTATATTATTCATTTTCTAAAAGAAAATACTTTTAGCGTCAATGTCATAGTGTGTGTGAGGACTAGAAGTTCTATCTCATTCCCTATCCCCATCTGATTTTTCTAAAAAAAATATATACATATATATATATCAGTCCTATAAACATAAATTAAATGTCTACATACTTTAGCTTAAATCATACTCTCATGTTTAGCGTATCAAAAGGATTTCGGTAGCACCGCGGATAATAGTCATTTTAAATTGGTTTTTTGGGAGCTCTTGGAGCTTTGATGTGCGTATGAGCTAATACAACTTCTAAAATCTTCAGTTTAAGGAACCTCTTACCACACTTGCTTGGATCATCATGCAAAGCAGCAATTTTTAATAACAAAGAACTATAAAAGCATACGTATGCATGCCGTTAAAACGTGTTCTCCTATGGAAAACTGACATCGCTGAATTCCAAAATTGGCTAATAAAGTAAATAAAATTCGAAACTTCACAAATTTTACCAAGCCACCAGCAAACAAGCTGGTTATCTTAGCACATGTTCATCTCTTCAGAAACATTTTAAATTCAATTCAGAAACATTTTAAATTCAATCTGTCAATACAATGAAGCAATTTCCTGCTAATACTAAACAGACTCAAAACTCAATTTCATTTTCCAATCTTTACATCCAAGACAAACCCAGTTTATAAAACTCAGAGCTGATGATAACCCAATTCTGAAAAACTTTAAACCATAAAAAAATAATAATAAAAATCGCAACTTTATTCAGATTGTTAAGAAAGAAAAAAAGATGAGACTTGGAGAGCAAGAAAGACAGAGAATTGTACTAACGGGTTCTTCGGAGATGATGCAGAGCTCGCCATGGGAGACGCCAATCTTGGTGAATTCAAGAGCCGCGTAACCAGCAGCCACGCCTCCTCCGAGAATCACATACACAAACGCTCTTCCTCTCTCTCTCTCTCTCCCTCTCTCTCTTACTCTCTCTAGTTTTCTTTCTTTTTCTGGGATTTCGAAGACGTTAATTTTAGAGAGAGAAAGAGCGAGCCGCTCCCATATATGAATTGAACAAATCGCGAACCAAACTTCAATCTTCTTACCAGTCTCAATCCTCCAATGGTGACGTGTGGTGGGGCTGACCGAGAATCAGATACACTGCTTCTAGGTCTATGATAACGTGTGGTGGAAGACAATCAGGGTCGTTGAAGTTGTTTGATAAGATCAATCGAAGAGCCTAATTGGGCCTCCACTTATAGGAATACGATATTGGGCCCGAGTTTAGTGGGCCGAGAAAGTAGTGTGAAATTTTCACAAGTATAGAATGTATGGGTTAAAATTACCCTTTACTCTTACTGTTTATAATCTTTTTAATTAAATAATTACACTAATAAAAAATATTTACAATAATAAGAAGTAAAGTGTATATTATGGCCCGTTTAGTTCGCTGATTTAAATTTTTAATTCGAATTGAGATGTGATTTTATGTGAAAGTTTTTTATTGTGATAAAAAAATTAAATGTGACTATTTGTGAAAACTTTTTACTGTTAAAATTTGAATTCTAAACTCGAATTAACGAAATGAACGGGCCTAATATATTCTCAAACATAAATTTTCTACTTTTTATGAGATATGGTGTGATGGGCCCACTGTTATGGGGAAATGGGAAAGATTGGAATGGATGATGATTGATGGATAGGATATCAACTTGGAGGAATGGAGCTGATTGTTTCTATTGATTTGGTTTTTGTCAGAACTTGACATTCTTTTATGTAAATAGCAATAGCACCACCTCGTGTAACTGAATTTTGGATGAGGTTTTCTGCCTCTACCACCACACATTTGATAGAAAAAAAAAATACATATATTTATATATATTGCATATTTGTGAATGTTGGATAAGTTCATTTTTTTAAATAAAAAAAGTTCACAGTCAAATATAATGAGATCTAATCAAAATCAAAAGAATCAGATAATTCCTTGGAAAAAAAAAGTATCACTTAATTTTTTTTTTCCATAAAACTTATGTCATGACACTCTTCAAGCATGCTAGTTTTCTTCTCTCTCTTATGATAATTTATAATGCAGCATTCAAATAATGGTGTAGAGTATTTCAGTTGATAATATATGAGTATTTTAAAACGAAGAAAATAAGTTGTGACTGTAGAAATGAACGGCCTTGTTTTGCCAAACCAAACGTAGAAGATAAGGTGATTTAGATCGAGACACAAACCTCTTATGAATCAAGCGACTAATGACCATGAAAAATCCAACTAACTTCCAAATGTACTTGAAAAGAGATGAAGAAAGTGGCATTTCTGTACTTCCTTTGCTTGGTCCATACGAAGGTAAACTTGAATAGGTCGATGGATTCATACATGCTGACGTGGAGCAATTCAAGATAGGCCTTATATTGAAAAAATATAGAATTTACTCTTTTTAAGGTTAAAGGTAAAATTTTTTACCATTTACTATTCATTCATAACTTTTTTAATCAAATAATTATACTAATAAAAGAATATTTATTAAAAATAATGAGTAAATAGTCATACTCATATGATAAATTCTCTATTTTATCAATGTAAGGCATATCTTGAATTGCTCCTAATAGGGATGATGCTGTCAAAGCTTATAGGACTTTAGGCCCAATATGAAGTCTAGTTATTTAGCTATAAAAATTTAGAAAAATCATGTGCATGTCTTATTTATGTCAGTCTAAAGAAAAATTATTGAATTTATTCTTAGATTAATGAGTTTAAATTTTAATTTTAATTTTTTATTAATACTCTTTTAATTAATTAATTATTTAATTAAAAATAATATTAATAAAAAAGTAAAAATCCAAATATTTGTCTCATTTCTCTCATTTTAAATAATTAAGTATCATTGTGACATTTTATTTTTTCTTTATTAATTAAATGACAATTATTTATTTTTAAATGGAATGACATAAAAGATATTTTTTACCATCTTGAGTGGTATTTCTGTTGTTTTCTCTTATTCTTTTTCTGTTTCATATCAAATTAAGAAATCATAGAATTCTAATAGAAGGGTATAAAATTAAAAAGGTGAGGTGAAGGGAGTGGCATTCTCTGATTTTCTAATGAAAATATCCTTTCTTCTTTTTATTTTGGGTTTACATTAGCTATTAGGAGAGCACAAAAACCAGTCAAACTGCCCCACCAACCACAATTAGTGCCATGTCACTAAAATGCAAAACAACAGTTTTGTTGAAGCATCTGTGGCCATTGGTTAAAATGTCTTGAGTGGCTGACGTGGAACATTGAGTGTACATGATTCTTTGTAATAGTCTAAGTGTCATAAGTGTTATAGGTGTGCTTAGTCGGTGGTAGCTTAGGGGTATACAGCTAAGTGTGCTGTAAAGTCATACAGTAACAGATATAGAACTTAGAGAGAGAAAATGACATAGAGTTTTTCTTGAGAGAGAAAGATCAAGAATTAAGTCTGTAATCTTGAAGAACCATTCATAAATAAAAGTTCTCATTTTTCTTTCCACTTTTGTGTACGATTGAATCTTTGTGTTCTGCAACGAAGGCTGAAAGCTTCACAAATTGGTATCAGAGCCTTGTTCTGAGAATCAAGAATGATGATGGTGAAGTTCGATATTGAGAAATTCACCGGAAAGAACGACTTTGGTCTATGGAGGTTGAAGATGCGAGCACTCCTAGTTCAACAAGGACTTGAAGATACGCTGGGAGGAGAAAAGAATTTGCAGTCATCCTTATCGGAGCCGGAGAAGAAGCAGATCCTGGACAAGGCTCACAGCGCACTGATCTTGTGTCTTGGAGATAAAGTTTTGCGGGAGATTTCGAAAGAAAAAACTGCGGCGGCGATCTGGGTAAAGCTCGAAAGCCTCTACATGACGAAATCACTGGCTAATCGGTTGTTCATGAAACAGAGGTTGTACACGTTCAAAATGCCGCCAGGAAGAACGATTGAGGAGCATCTGGACGAGTTTAATAAAATAATTTTGGATCTTGAAAATATCGACATTAAAGTCGAGGATGAGGATCAAGCGTTACTGTTGTTGAAATCCCTACCCAGTGCCTATGAAAACCTCTCGGATACATTGATTTACGGGCGGGATAGTCTGACATTGGAGGAGGTTCAAACTGCCCTAATGTCCAAGGAGCTCAAGAAGAAGTGTGAGACAAAGGGGGAAGGATCTGGGGATTCATTAAGCGAGGGGTTATTCGCAAGAGGAATACCAGAGAAGAGGGAATCCAAGAACAACAAGAACCAGTAATCAATAGGGATGTTCATGGATTGGGTTGGTGCGGGGTAGGACTTTTTTTCCCCCGCCCCATAGGGTGCGGGTTACACATATTTAGCCCCAACGATGTTAGAATTTTTTCACAACCCAACGATGTTCGGGTTGGGTTGGGGCGGTGCGGGGTGGGTTGGGTGGTCGGTTTCAACATTTAAAAAATTAAAAACTTAAAGTTCAATCTAACATTCAAAGTTCATAATCAAATAGAAATAACAACCATTCTTATGAGTTATGAGTCCATCTAACATCAAACATGTAGCAAAGCAGTCCATCCAACATCAAATATAAAGCAAACATAAATTTGTCTACACTCATAAATTAGTCTTAACATAAAGCAAACATAGATGCTTAATTCAAATCCATCTAAAGCAAGCATTGCAACAGCAACAATCCTTATCAGTCCACACCCATAAGCTCCTCAATGGTTGTAGTAGGACATGAAGTTGAGTTATCTACAAGAGAAATGAAAATAACTTAAGTAATAATTTGGATAGTTAGTTTAGACATGTGTTGTGCGGGTTGGGTTGGGGGTTGCGGGTTGTTATGGGCCCAACCCACAACCCGCCCGAAACACTTCGGGCCAGAGGTATAATAGGCCGAAAATTAAAAAATAATGCTGCGGGTTGCTTTTTTCGGGTTGGGTTGGGGCGGTGCGGGGTGAGTTTGCGGGTTGTTCAGGTTTATGAACACCCCTAGTAATCAAGATCCAAGTCAAACGGTAAACTGAAGTGTTTTATCTGCCACAATGAGGGACATTTCAAACGGAATTGTCCCGAGAGGAATAAGAAAAGCCCCAGTGAAAAGACTCGATCAGATGGAGATGTGGACGTGGTTTCTGAAGGATATGAGAGCGCAGAAGTCCTCATAGTGGCGGATACGGATGCAGGAAATGAATGGGTTCTGGATTCAGGGTGTTCATTCCACATGACGCCTCATGAATCATGGATTTCTAATTACAAGAAACTGGATTCTGGGCAAGTACTTCTGGGAAACAACAAGACATGTAAGGTCTTGGGAACCAGCACAGTTTCAATCTTGATGGCAGATGGATGTGAAAGAAGACTCAATAATGTAAGGCATGACCAAGAGTTAAGGAGAAACTTGATTTCCCTGGGAATGCTTGACTCGGAGGGTTTCATGTTCAAAGCAGAAAGTGGGAGATTGAAGGTGGTAAAAGGTTCCATGGTGTTCATGAAAGGAACCAGGGAGAATGGCTTGTATCTACTCCAGGGCAAGACGGTGATTGGAAGTGTTGCAGTAGCCTAAAAGGTGATTCAAGACTACACCTCACTCTAGCATTTCAGATTGGGACATGTCAGTGAGAGGGGGCTTCAAGAATTGGGAAACCAAGGAGTGCTGGAAAAGGAGAAGCTGAAGAAACTAGACTTCTGCGAGCACTGTGTGTTTGGAAAATCTTGCAGAACCAGGTTTGGAACTGGAGAACACCGAACAAAGGGGACACTGGATTATCTGCATTCAGACTTATGGGGGCTTTCAAGAATCGCGTCCATAGGTGGAGCAAGGTACTTTATGTATGTGATTGATGATTATTCCCGTAGGGTGTGGGTGTTCATTCTAAAAAATAAAGACTTAGCCCTAGAAAATTTTAAGCAATGGGTGGTTTTGATTGAGAATCAAATTGGTAAAAGGGTTAAGAGGCTTAGA